CGTGCCTCTCTCTCATCATAATCACGGTGGCTATGAGTTGTTAACTACCTCACCTGTTATATAAGAGGTCGTGGGTTCGATCCCGACCATGACGCCTGCTGCTATATATTTGGAGTTTGCGTTTCTCCCTCATCATCACCACTGTGGCTAGGATATGTTAACTGCCTCGCCTGGTATACAGGAGGTCATGGGTTCGATCCCGACCCTGACGTCTGCTGCTGTATATTTGGAATTTGCGTCTCTCTCATAATCATCATCACGGTGGCTAGGAGATGTTAACAATCTCGCCCGCTATACATGAGGTTGTGGATTCGATCCCGACCCTGAACACCTGTATATTGGAGTTTGCGCGTGTCTCTCTCGCCGTGGTCGCATGGACTTTTCTCCTCCGATTTTTATCCCCCCCTCCCCCACCCACATTTAAATTCGGCGTGCGTTCAGAGTATGTCGCTGCTGCACATGTGTACGTGATGATCAGCCACTTTGTTGAACTATCATTTGAGGCCAAGTCGCTTCTGAAAAAATGCGAAGAATAGCGCAGTCGGCTGAAATAAAACGAATCGTTGTTTTACTTTAGCACAGAGCCGCCGTCGGGGGGGGGGAGGTTATCATCGGGGTCTCCGTGACCCGGAATGTGGATCGGCTCGCTGCACCCTGACACTTGCGCATGAAATGTGAGGACAATTCGCATTCTCCATCGTTAACAATTCATCAGTGTTACATTTGAATCGATAAATGCATCGCAAGCCTATCACACTCCTCCCCTATAGGCGGGCGCTGGTGGTGGATACGCAGCTGCAGCAGCAGCCTCCATAGCGCTGCGTCACTGCAGCAGTAGCAGCAGCAGTAGCATCGAGGGTCGGTGGATCACCGCGCACACAGATGATGTCGTTGTGAAACTCCCTTCTACCCCGTGGGTGGGCGTCAAGGTGCCGCCGCACTGCCCTGGCTCGCCAGGAGAAGACGGCACAGAGAGTGGACTCATCGCCATCTGTTTCCATCTGTACGGGGATCGAGCGTTGCCCCCTCGCGCACGTGGGTTTCACTCCGGGTGCTCCGGTTCTCCTACGACGCGTGTAAAATAATAATAATAACAATAATACTACTGGTAGGAACCTCCTGGTTACGCCAGCCCACAGGGGATTATTGTGTTCGTCGTACAGGGAGGGGCTGGGTGGGGAGGGTGGGGAGGGGCTGGGTGGGGAGGGTGGGGCTGGGTGGGGAGGGGAGGGTGGGGCTGGGTGGGGAGGGTGGGGAGGGGCTGGGTGGGGAGGGGAGGGTGGGGAGGGGCTGGGTGGGGAGGGTGGGGCCGGGTGGGGAGGGGAGGGTGGGGCTGGGTGGGGAGGGTGGGGAGGGGCTGGGTGGGGAGGGGAGGGTGGGGAGGGGCTGGGTGGGGAAGGTGGGGCTGGGTGGGGAGGGGAGGGTGGGGAGGGTGGGGCTGGGTGGGGCTGGGTGGGGGGTGGGAGGGGTGGGGCTGGGTGGGGAGGGGCTGGTCACCCCGTGGTGCCCTTATAAAACTCAACGTTTAACCTACTCACGCCGGCTTGTGCCCACCCTCACAGTCGGGCATATTTGCGGAATACACCACGCCGCCGTTGACCCTGGCCATTGACCGAGCAACCCAACGTTCCTACCAGCTCCCTCCGCAGGACAATGTGTGTATTACTTGTCATAAATTGGCCGAAAACATCTCAAAATAAAAACACCGAGGTTCCACGCCTCGGCATAGGTGTCTTAGATAAAATAAGCAATATTTTTTTTCAATATATTTTTTTATCGCATGACCATCGTCACCTGTTTACAGTGCCAGGGAATTGTAGCAGGCTGCATGCGCAGTACCCAACATTGCACAGGAGGGAGAGCGTTTTGCAAGCTCAATCCGTGGACTCGTGGGTTTTTTGTTAAACGCGCAAACTCAACTTTTTTTCATTTTACCACGTAAGGCCCCACAGAGCTCTTACTACGTTAGGTCTTTTTCAGAAGCGACCACCTGGTTACCACAAATGATAGCTCAACACAAGTGGCTTATCACCACCGTGATGATATGAGAGAGAGAGACACTGCAAACTCCAAATATACAGCAGCAGGCGTCAGGGTAGGGATAGAACCCACGACCTCCTGTATACCAGGCGAGGTAGTTAACATCTCCTAGCCACCGTGATGATGATGAGAGAGAGACACGCAAACTCCAAATATACAGCAGCAGCAGGCGTCAGGGTCGGGATCGAACCCACGACCTCCTGTATACCAGGCGAGGTAGTTAACATTTCGCCATGATAACCGTTTGCGCACGTTACGAACCGGTGATCGTTCCCAGCGGAATGTTAACGATCGATGCACCGATTGGCGGCGCTGCGATGGCTAGGAGATGTTAACTACCTCGCCTGGTATACAGCAGGTCGTGGGTTCAATCCCGACCCTGACGCCTGCTGCTGTATATTTGGAGTTTGCGTGTCTCTCTCATCATCATCATCACGGTGGCTAGGAGATGTTAACTACCTCGCCTGGTATACAGGAGGTTGTGGGTTCGATTCCGACCCTGACGCCTGCTGTATATTTGGAGTTTGCGTGTCTCTGATCATCATCACATTGGCTAGGAGATGTTAACAACCTCGCCTGGTATACAGGAGGTCGTGGGTTCGATCCCGACCCTGACGCCTGCTTTATATTTGTAGTTTGCGTGTCTCTCTCTCATCATCACGGTGGCTAGGAGATGTTAACTACCTCGCCTGGTGTACAGGAGGTCGTGGGTTCGATCCCGACCCTGACGCCTGCTGCTGTATATTTGGAGTTTGCGTGTCTCTCTCTCCCCGTGGTCACTTGGATTTTTTCCCACGGTCCTCATGTTTGTACCTCCACATTTAGCATCAACATGCGTTTAGAGTGTTTGGCTGCGATACATATTCACATGATAAGCCACTTCGTAGAGCTATTATTCGTGGCCAGGTCGCTCCGTGGACCTTACCTGGTAAAATAAAAAGTTTAGTTTAGACTCAGACTTAAATGAGTAGCACCTGGTGTGGTGTGTAAACATTGTCAGTCGGGAGACAAAGGCGACCGGGCGTGGTGCTGGGCCACCCTCTCGTGTGCCGTGCCGGCCTTCGTAGGCGCTCGCTAAAACCACTTGCCCCAACACTCTGTCGAAGCTATACGGGGGGAGGGGGGTGCTTTGCATTTCGTAATGCAACAATCCAGCGCTGCTATTCGAAAAGAATTGGTCCATTGTGAGTCGGAATCGTCGACCAAGCTTAGCACGTGTTCCACATTTAAATGCCAATTGCAACAACAGCAGCAGCAGCAGCCATCGGCACCCCGCCACTGTAATTACTGGCAGGCATCCTCCACGCCCGCTTGGGGGCACCGGGTGCTGTGTTCGGCACACGGACAGCTGACACGGGGGGTGCCCCTTCGTACGCTTGTGACGCGATGCGGTGCGGTGCTTTGAGATGCTCTGACATGGTGGGGAATCGCCAAGCTCCCTATAAATAATATCTTTGGGTGACCTTCAAACGTAGGATCTGAAAATTAGGGATTATTATTACTTATTAATATTATCGCATTAAAACAAATTATTGTTTGTTTGGCTTTTATTTTGGTCCGAGTTGGTCCCATTTGAACATTCGCGTTGGGAGTGAACCCAGGGCGTGTTCATTGGGAATCGGTTATCACGGGATTCGTTTATCGCGAGCAGCAGCAGCGGCAGCGGCAGCAACAGCAGCAGCGGCAGCAGCAGCATCAGCAGCAGCAGCATCAGCAGCAACAGCAGCAGCAGCATCAGCAGCAGCATCAGCAGCAACAGCAGCAGCAGCATCAGCAGCAGCAGCATCAGCAGCAACAGCAGCATCAGCAGCAGCAGCAGCGGCAGTTCTGCGCCCAATGAATTACCGCGGTTATCTCTGCGTTTTAAACGACTCTCATTTTGGCCCTGCAGTTCGTAACGTATGCCGAACTATCAACAACACCCACACAGGAATGTAATAATAGCAGCAGCAGCAGCAGCAACAACAACAGGCTAAAGGCGCAGCCCTGCAATTGCTCGCTCGCGCCACTGCCGACGGAAGGAGTCATCCACCAGGGGCCGCTCTTTCTGAAGAACCCCTTGGAGGCCCATCGAGATGACAGGCGCCCTCTCTTCCACGTTGCCTCCTCGTGAGTCTTGCAAGGGGGGGGGAGCTACCCACGCTTTATCACATTTACATTCATTTACACTATGAGACATCTCCTTTACCAGTGGCAAAATATAGTAGTAGGTTTTTACCCTTTAAACTGGTACAAAACTGACACCTTTATACAAGGCATCATGTTTGCAATAACCACAACACAAGCAGTCAAAATGCAAACAAAAAGAAACAACTCTGATGATGATAATGATATGCACTGTCCATGAAGTTGATTGGTCCACACCCGAGACAGCTTTTCTTAGAGCCTAGTCTCCATTGGTGTTGGACCAGATGACGCCAAAAGGCGTACAACTCAAAAACAGCGCACTATCAGAGTATTGTTTGCATTTTGACTGCTTGTGTTGTGGTTATTGCAAACATGATGCCTTGTATAAAGGTGTCAGTTTTTGTACCAGTTTAAAGGGTAAAAACCTACTACCACATTTACATTGTTGAGCGCACAGAGGCATGTCGGGGAGGGGGGTGTTGATTTAAGAAACTCGCTTTTGTGACAAGTGCCGTTAGCGAGAAGCACCGATCGGTGAAGGCCGGCACGGCACACGAGGGGATGGGTGGCCAGCGCCACGCCCGGCCGCCTTTGTCTCCCGAGTGGCCATGTGTACACACTCCACCGGATACTCATTTGAGGCTGAGTCGACCTAGGCGATGCCCAGGACCGGTTCACATAATCGTCACTGGCGGTGTTGGTGGCCGTGAGCGGGAATGAATCGAACTCGAGCCGAAGGGTTCGTAGCGCAGCGTAGCGCTAACCGCTGCACCACCGCTCCCCGATATATATTGTGTGTGTGTGTGCGCACACGCGCTCGCATTGTGCCTCCAATCGCACGCGCGCTCTCCCACCCACCTCCGTGCAGCGTTCAGAGAAAGCCGAGAGAGAGAGAGCGCGCAGACTGAGAGCGTCGAGAGAAGACGAGAGACGGCACGAGAGAGAGAGACACGACACACAGAGAGACACGACACACAGAGAGACACGACAGAGACACGATAGACGAGACAGCACGAGAGAGAAAAACACGACAGAGACGACAGGGTCAGGACGGAGAGACGCTGAGATCACGGAGGTGGTAGGGGGGGTGACGAACGCAGGCGACAGGCGAGACGCGGAATAGACCCTGCAGAGACGCAGTCGTAAACACGCGCAGGCGACACAGAGACACGGGAGACAAAGACGCAGAGACGCAGTGACGCACACCCAGAGAGAGAGACACGGGCAGATCGCAGGGACAAGGCGACACAGAGACACAGAGACGCAGAGACACAGAGACGCAGAGACACAGAGACGCAGAGACACAGATACACCGAGACACAGATACACAGAGACACAGATACACAGAGACACAGATACACAGAGACACAGAGACACAGAGACACAAAGACGCAGTGACGCACACACCCCGATACACAGAGACACAGAGACACAGATACACAGAGACACAGAGACACAGAGACACAAAGACGCAGTGACGCACACACCCCGATACACAGAGACACAGAGACACAGAGACACAAAGACGCAGTGACGCACACACCCCGATACACAGATACACAGAGACACAGATACACAGAGACACAGAGACGCAGTGACGCACAGAGAGAGAGAGACACGGGCAGACCGCAGGGACAAGGCGACACAGAGACACAGAGACGCAGATACACAGAGACGCAGAGACGGACCATTGAAGAGCCGCACACACAGACGGCGTTGACGTGCGTACACGCGTGGAGACGAGAAGAGACGGGGTTAGACCCGTAGACTCACCCAGCAGAGACCCATAGACTCACACAGAGACCCATAGACTCACCCAGCAGAGACCCATAGACTCACACAGAGACCCATAGACTCACACAGCAGAGACGCATACACTCACAGAGACCCATACACTCACACAGACCCATATACTCACACAGAGACCCATAGACTCACACAGCAGAGACGCATACACTCACAGAGACCCATACACTCACACAGACCCATAGACTCACACAGAGACCCATACACTCACACAGAGTCGCATCGACTCACATAGAGACCCATAGACTCACACAGAGACCCATAGACTCACACAGAGACCCATAGACTCGCATAGAGACCTATACACTCAAATCTAGATCCATAGACTCATACAGAGACCCATAGACTCACACAGAGACCCATAGACTCATACAGAGACCCATAGACTCACACAGACCCATCGACTCACATAGAGACCCATCGACTCACATAGAGACCCATAGACTCACACAGAGACCCATCGACTCACATAGAGACCCATCGACTCACATAGAGACGCATAGACTCACAGAGACCCATAGACTCACACAGACCCATAGACTCACAGAGACCCATCGACTCACATAGATACCCACAGACTCACACAGAGGATCCATAGTCAAGGGCACGCGGACCAGGGAAGCCATCCCAGATTGGTCTCCATCTCTGTTTAGAAATGGGATCAAATCCTCCTCCTCCTCCTCGTCATCGTCGTCGTCGTCCTCACCCTGGGGTCTCCCTCGTGATCCTTGTCGTCGTCTGCGCGGCGTTTCTCGGTGAGTGCCGGGCGAGCGGTGTGGTGTGGTGTAGTGTGGTGTGGTGTAGTGTGGTGTTGTGTGGTGCGGTCCGGTGTGGTGTGGTGCGTTGGTGTGGTGTAGTGTGGTGTGGGGCGGTGGTGTGGTGGTGTGGTGTGGTGTGGAGCAGTGTGGTGGTGTGGTGGTGCGGTGTGTGGTGGTATGGTGGTGTGGTTTGGTTCAGTGTGGTGGTGCAGTGTGTGGTGGCGTGGTGGTGTGGTGGTGTGATGGTGTGGTATGGTGGTGTGGTGTGGTGTGTTGGTGTGGTGTGGTGGTGTGTTGGTGTGGTGTGATGTGGTGGTGTGGTGTGGTGTGGAGCAGTGTGGTGTGGTGGTGTGGTGTATAGTGTGATGGTGGTGTGGTGTGGTGGTGGTGTCAGCGGGGAGCTCGCGCTGCGACCCGAGTTGGATTCCCGCCCACGGCCGACAGCGCAGCGACGATTATCTGAAGCGGGTCCTGGGCCTCCGCTAGGTCGACTCAGCCTCAAATGAGTACCTTGTGCGGTGTGTAGAAACATCGCCACTGGGGAGACAAAGGCGGCCGGGCGTGGTGCTGGCCACCCACCCCCTCGTGTGCTACCGTGCCAGCCTTCATAGGTGCTGCTCGCTAACAGCACTTGCCCCTAAAGTCTGTTTAGGCTACACGGAGGATGTTTGTCCTTGGAGTGAGTGTGGTGATTATGGTGAGTGGGGTGAGTGGGGTGAGTGGGGTGAGAGTGGTGATTGGGGTGAGTGAGGTGAGCGGGGTGAGCGTGGTGAGTGAGGTGAGTGGGGTGAGTTGGGTGAGTGAGGTGAGGGGGGTGAGAGTGGTGAGTGGGGTGAGTCAGGTGAGTGGAGGTGAGCGGGGTGAGTTGGGTGAGTGGAGGTGAGTGGGGTGAGTTGGGTGAGAGTGGTGATTGGGGTGAGCGAGGTGAGTGAGGTGAGTGGGGTGAGTGTGGTGATTGGGGTGAGTGGGGTGAGTGAGGTGAGTGGGGTGAGAGTGGTGAGCGGGGTGAGTGCGGTGAGCGGGGTGAGGGTGGTGATTGGGGTGAGAGTGGTGATTGGGGTGAGAGTGGTGAGCGGGGTGAGCGGGGTGAGTGGTGTGAGCTAGGTGAGTGGAGGTGAGCAGAGTGAGCGGGGTGAGTGGGGTGAGTGGGCTGAGTGGGGTGAGTGGGGTGAGCGGGGTGAGTGGGGTGAGTGGGGTGAGCGGGGTGAGTGGGGTGAGCGGGGTGAGAGGGGTGAGCGGGGTGAGTGGGGTGAGAGTGGTGAGCGGGGTGAGCGGGGTGAGTGGTGTTAGCTAGGTGAGTGGAGGTGAACAGAGTGAGCGGGGTGAGTGGGGTGAGTGCGGTGAGCGGGGTGAGTGGGGTGAGTGCGGTGAGCGGGGTGAGTGGGGTGAGTGCGGTGAGCGGGGTGAGTGGGGTGAGCGGGGTGAGTGGGGTGAGTGAGGTGAGTGGGGTGAGTGGGGTGAGCGGGGTGAGTGGGGTGAGCGGGGTGAGTGAGGTGAGCGGGGTGAGAGTGGTGAGTGGTTGTGAGCGGGGTGAGCGTGGTGAGTGGGGTGAGCGGGGTGAGTGAGGTGAGTAGGGTGAGTGGGGTGAGCCAGGTGAGCGGGGTGAGCGGGGTGAGCGGGGTGAGTGAGGTGAGTGAGGTGAGCGGGGTGAGTGGGGTGAGCGGGGTGAGCGGGGTGAGTGGGGTGAGTGGGGTGAGTAAGGTGAGCGGGGTGAGTAAGGTGAGTGAGGTGAGTGGGGTGAGTGGGGTGAGCGGGGTGAGCGGGGTGAGTGGGATGAGTGGGGTGAGTGCGGTGAGTGGGGTGAGCGGTGTGAGCGGGGTGAGTGAGGTGAGTGCGGTCAGTGCGGTGAGTGCGGTGAGTGGGGTGAGTGCGGTGAGCGGGGTCAGTGCGGTGAGTGCGGTGAGTGCGGGGTCAGTGCGGTGAGTGAGGTGAGTGCGGTGTGCAGTGCCTGTGGGTTTCCCTTTGTAAATACGCCACGCTTCCACGTCTGCGTCACACAAATAAACGCATTCCCGTGTCGCCTGTGACAGACGCGCGCAGCACGCTACCGATGGTCGTGAGCCCGGACCCGCTTTTGTCTCGCCGGTGTTGATGTTTTACGCACCGCGCAAGGGGTTCTGCTCATTTAAGGCTGAGTGGATCTGGCGAGAGGCCCAGGACCGCTTCAGATAATCGTCACAGACTCCCACAGATACCCGGCTCGCCGCTGCACCACCGCATCTGCGTCAGACGCAAAGACAAAGGCCCCCCGTATAGCCCAAACAGCCCCTTTGGGTCAAGTGCTGTAAGCGAGCATCTATGAAGGTCGGCACTGCACACGAGGGGGGGGGGGTGACCAGCACCACGCCCGGCCGCCTTCGTCTCGCTCGAGGCGATGTGTACACATCGCAGCAGGTATTAATTTGAGGCTGAGTCTCCCTAGGGGAGGCCCAGGACCAGTTCAGATAATCGTCACTGGCGTTGGCCGTGCATCGAACCCGGGTGACCGCTGCACCACCGCTCTTCCACATCTGCGTCACACGCACAGACAAAGATCCCCCTATAGCATCATCATAACACCATCATCATCGCATCGTCATCATCATCACATCATCCACATCATCATCACGCCATCATCACATCATCATCATCACCCCATCCACATCATCGTCTTCATCATCTGCATCATCATATGATCATCACATCGTCATCATCAGCATCGCACCAACCACATCATCATAATACCATCCACATTATCATAACACCATCTACATCATCGTCTTCATCATCACATCATCCACATCATCGTCACGCCATCATCATCATAACACCATCCACATCATCATCACATCGTCATCATCACATAATCTCCATCATCGTCTTCATCATCTGCATCATCATATGATTATCACATCGCCATCATCATCACATCATCAGCATCGCACCAACCATATCATTATCACATCAAACATAATACCATCCTTATCATCACACCATCCACATCATATTCATCTGCATCACCATCATCATCACATCGCCATCACATCACCGCATCATCATTTTTTTCATCACATCATCGCATCATAAGCACATCGCCAATAACATGATCACATCGTCATTACATCACCATCTTCATTTCCAAAAGCATTATCCCCGTTGCACCGTCACCGTAAGATGCAGTGACAACACGAGGTATTAATTTATGCGCACATACAGCGTGGCACATACACGATGCGTGGAACATACACGATGCGTGGAACATACACTGTGGAGATGTTAACTACCTCGCCTGGTATACAGGAGGTCGTGGGTTCGTCGTGGGTTCAATCCCGACCCTGACGACTGCTGCTGTATATTTGGAGTTTGCGTGTCTCTCTCTCATCATCATCACGGTGGCTAGGGGATGTTAACTACCTCGCCTGGTATACAGGAGGTCGTGGGTTCGATCCCGACCCTGACGCCTGCTGCTGCAGTATATTTGGAGTTTGCGTCTCTCTCTCATCATCATCACGGTGGCTAGGAGATGTTAACTACCTCGCCTGGTATACAGGAGGTCGTGGGTTCGACCCCGACCCTGACGCCTGCTGCTGTATATTTGGAGCCTGCGTCTCTCTTTTTCTCCCGGTGGTCGCGTGTATTTTTCTCAGGGTTCTTCCGCTTTTCCCCTACCACGTTTACAAACGTGGCTGCCGATATACATTTCCACGTGATAAGCCACTTTCTTGAGCTTGCATTTTTGATAGCCGGGTTGCTTCCGAAAAATATCTCTACGGCTCAATCATCCTGACCTGGTAAAATACAAAAATAGTTTCATCTTCTTGGTTCTTTCGGTAAAGTCACGTAGAAGGGAAGTAATAAAATAATAAAAATAAAAAATAATAAAATAATCAGGTGAATAATTATATTCTTAGGTTTTTTCGGTAAAGTCACGTAGGTAAAACATTAAATTAATAAAAGTAAAATAAAATAAAAAATCACGACGTTTCGGAGGCAACACAAGCTTCCGTCTTCAGGTGGAATCGTCACAGCCACGACAGCTGTCGTGATTTTTATTTTATTTTACTTTTATTAATTTTAATGTTTTACCTACGTGACTTTACCGAAAAAACCTAAGAATATTAATCCTTGCAGTCACGAAAGCTTCAAATCTAGGTGAATAATTCTTCACCTGAGGACGGCTGCTTGCGTTGTGGCCTGAAACGTCGTGAGAATAATTTTATTATGTTTTATTTTTATTATTTTATTACTTCCCTTCTACGTGACTTTACCGAAAGAACCAAGAAGATGAATCCCTGCAGTCACGAAAGAAGCTTTAAATCGAAAAAAAATAGTTTCGTTTTGAGTGTACTCCTCTATTACATACAGTGCATTTATTTTTTCCTTCTTAGGCCACAAAGAGTTCAGAATCAAAATGTTTCTTCAGACTGGAGGAGGAAATCCGATCAGCTATATGAATCTTTTTTTTTATAGATGTCTAGTCAGGCCGGGTTGGCAAGTTACAACAGCAAAGAACACAAAAAACCCCGATAGGAGTGAAGAGTAAATTTCGATTTAAAGCTTCTTTCGTGACTGCAGGGATTCATTTTCTTGGTTCTTTCAGTAAAGTCACGTATAAGGGAGATAATAAAATAATAAAACATAATAAAATATTGTATTATTTTTCTATTATTGTATTATTTTATTATGTTTTATTTTTATTATTTTATTATCTCCCTTCTACGTGACTTTACCGAAAGAACCAAAAAGAAGAGTGAAAAGTATACGAGAGGTAGGCAGGTCACGAGAATTAGATAAATATAAAATATGTAAGTTCCAAACCTTTCACAAATGCGTAAATTCCCGCCGGTGAACTGAACACTGAAGTGGAATCTTGGGGCGAGGCAGCAAAAAAAACGACTCCGAAAACAGTCCCAGACCACACCAAGATCACAACAGCAGCACACAGTCAGTATAGTCCCCCGATACAATTGCACATTAAAATTGAACTTTCGATACACGAGTGAGCATAACAAGTCACA